TGAATAAGAATATTGAATATTTTCAAACACGTAACGGAATATTTTACTCAAAAGAATATAAAAACTCTAAATGAATCCAAAAACCTCGTATATTTGTTTTCGGTAATGAACTACTGGGTCATTTTCAGAGCGCATGCATAAACAAAAAGTCTTTTATAAGGGTCTAATGGAGAAAGTTCTGACTGATTGCATTTTTAAGCTTCATTCATATTTTTTCATGCTACTCATTAGTTTCTACGGAATATTTAGTCTAAAATTATAACAATTTTTGGCATTAAAATTATCTCGATGCGAGAATGAAGAGTTAACTAGGCGAATAGAAAATGTTTACAATTTAATTTCCGCTTATTAATTACTCTCTTTTGCAAGTGAATACTCACCGTTGACTCTTGCATTAAAATCTTTTGATATTTGTTGGAAATTTTATGGTATTTCTCCTGATATTGCAACGCCGTGTGTTCGAAGCGCTCCTCATCTTCATAAGGTAAGTCCTCAACACTTTCATACATGCAGTGATATCTGTGAAAACAAAGAATTCGGTATGGATTAGAAAACAATAAAGTTGAAATGGTAAAACTTTTCGGCCAACATACCTTATAAGCCGTTTGACAGCCTCCTCTTTGTTCTGAAACGGATTGACATAGTCGGGATTCAAGCAAGCCTGCTGATCCAATTCCAATTGCCGGAGAAACCTGAAGTAACACACAAACAAATTATAAGCTTACAAACAAATATATTGTATATGAAATAAAAATTATAAATATTCGAGTGATAAATTTAAGAATTCTGATAGTCGAAAGGCGAAAGTTGTGTGGAGTATCGCGTATTTTCAACCAACTACTCACAAAGAAAGGCGTGCAAGTTTCGGCTGCGGTGACAAACTCTCCTCGCGTCTGAACAGGTGAGCGCCCAGCATGGTTGCGGGAGCATTGCTGGTGGTGGTGAGCGCGTAAGAGCTGTTCGTGTTCTGCTGCAGTTGCATGTTTGCTTGAGCATTTGTTGTTGTTGTACTTGTGGTTGTCATAACTGTCGCTCCCGTCGCCGCGGTTGTTATTGTTGCGCCGTTCGCTGTTGCTGCTGTTGTTGTTGTTGTTGATGTTGCATTAGCAGTTGTTGTTACGCATGTAACATTGGTCGTTGGCGGCGCAGAGGTTATTGTTGCCGCTGTTGCTGTCATCATTGTGCTCGTGTGACCGGCGCTGGTAAGTGCTGTTGTTGTTGCGCTGATAGGTGCCATGCTAGGCGCTAGCGTTGACAAGTTGCTGCTGGGTGCTTGCGTTATAGCGTGTAGCTGCTGTTGCAACACATGTTGCTGTTGTATGAAACCGCTTGCGCCTGTTGCAAAATGCATGGTTGTCGGCGTATTGGCAACACTGGTTGCCGTTGCAGCTGCTGAGGCAGCGATTAATGGACTAGAGAACACTAGTGGCGGTGGACCGTTCATAAGAGTTGAACTACTGGCGCTGCTGCTCGCTACTAATACTGGCTTTTGCAGCATGAATTGTTGTTGCTGCTGTTGCTGAGGTTGAAAAAGTAATGCTGGCGCTTTGGAGGTTGGCACGAGCGTTGGCTGCTGCTTCGGTTGGCTTAGCGGCATGAGTGTGCTAATGTTGTTGCTATTCGAATTTTGTGTGACCTGATGTTGAGTGGACGTGACAGTTTTGCCTTTACCGTTGATGTTGTTATTGTCTTTGCCACGAGAAACCGTTGCGGATTGCTGCAATTTCGATTGCTGTTGTTGTTGTTGTTGCTGCTGCTGCTGCTGCTTGTTCTGTTGCATAGTTTGATGATGTTGCATCGGGTAGATATGAATACGATGTGTGACACCAGCTTGTGTCTGCACTTGCGTCTGTGCCTGCTGGCCAGCGATGGCACTGCTCATCGATGTCGCCGTCACTGTCATGGTGGACGAGTGATTATTTGGCTGTACGACATTCGCCGGTACGGCCGAAGTATTCGGCTTGCCTACGCCAACCTGTTGCTGCTGTTGTTGTTGCTGTTGTTGCATTTGCGGCGGTTGCGTCATCAACGTTATGCCAGCGCCACTGCCGATGGGCGGCATCTGCAGGTACGCTTCCGGCGTTGGCATCTCCTTGCCCGCGGCCAGTATGCGTTGCTGCTCGGTGTACAGCCGTTGCAGCGCCACATTTATTTCGGGGTCGCTCATGGGTTTGATGTATGCAGCAATAGCGGCTGGATCAAAGTCCGACGGCAGGGGCAGTGAGGTTAACAGCGACTTGTGTTGCAGCTTAATGGTGAGGAATTGTATTTGCATTTGCACTTGCTTGAACATTTGTTGTTGTTGTGCGGTCAATTGAATTGTTTGCACACGTGAGACTGTGTGTTGTGGTTGTTGTGGCGATTGTTGCGGTAGCTGCACTTGTGTTGGCTGTTGTTGTTGTACTTGCAGTTGTGCTTGTTGTTGCAACACATTTGTGCTGTTGGACGAATTAAGCGCCGAAAGTGATGGCGGCTCGTTACTTATGCTGAAACTTGGCGCCACAACGGTTGACGCAGATGTCAATGTCATACCGTTACTGCTGCTGTTGGCAGTACTAACAAGGCTGTTGTTGCTGCTGTTCGTTGGTGTGGTCGAACAACTAACAATATTGGCGCTGCTGACGAAGCTGCGAATACTGGGTGATTGCAACAACATTGAAGCGGTGCTGGATGGTTGGAGTTGTTGTTGCTGCTGTTGCAGCGCAGTTGTTGTCGAAGTAACAAGTTGTTGCATGGGCGCAGTTACACCGACTAATTTTGTTGTTTGTTGTAGCGTTTGAAACGGTTGTATACTATTGGTGCCTGTTGTTGTAGTCAAATTGTTGGACGCAGCCGTTCCGCCGACCTGTTTGCCGCTGGCAACATTTGGCTGCACAATTTGCACTGGATTATTGTTTGGCTTTTGTGAAAGTGGATCTAACTTCGGCATCGGCTTAACGACGCTCGCGTTTTTAATACCTGCTGTGCCGCTGGCGACGTCAGCAGCTGTTGTTGTGGCTTTCGGCTTGCGCACGGGCTTCTTCTTTGCAACTGCGCCCGTCGACGCTGCATTTCTTGGCGGCTCCAATTTAGCCTTGCTCTGATCGATGATAGGCGCCACATTGGCCACCTGCTTGGTAACGGTATTTGTTGACGCTGTGGAGTTGTTCGTGTTGACGCCGCTGGCTACACTGCTCAATGGCTGGATGGGTTGCGGATGCACTATTTGCTGTTGTGGTGGCTGCAAACGTTGCTGTTGTTGTTGCACTGCTTGCTGATTCGCGCTTAACGTCGTGTTCATGGCCAACAATGTTGGCTGCGGCTGCGTGCTCGGCGGCAGTGGATTCACATCGTTAAAGTGAATCTGCCCCAACTGCAGGCACTGCGCCAATTGCTGAGCGTTGATGCCGGCTGGCGCGATCAGTAGGCGTTCGGTGGGACCAATCGAGGCAGCGGTTTGTGTCGGACTAATTGGCGTGATTTGATTTGTTTCGCTATTTAAGGAGAAGATTTGTTGTGTCGCGGCGTTGATTTTCGGCAATGACACATAGCGTTGTTGGCTCTGTGCAGCCAACGATGCGGCACCAAGTAGCGCATTGCTCGGCGGCTGTGGCAGCATTGGCTGTGGCTGATGTTGTTGTTGTTGTTGCATTAACTGTGCCATATCCTGCGCTCTCGCGGCGTTCAACATATTTTGTTGCTGTTGTGCCTGCTGGAACGTTTTTTGCTGTTGTTGTTGTTGCTGCTGATGCTGCATCTGCAGTTGTGCTGACTGCTGCGGCAATTGCAATTGAAGCGTTGGTCCTGTCGTTCCATTCCCAGTGGTACCACTACTGGAGTGTGCCGTTGGCCCAGCATTGAATTGTAACTGTATTGTGGGTGTTTTTGCTCCCACAGCTGTTGCGACTTGTGCGGGCAGCGTCAGCTTGCTTATAGCACCCGTGTTGGTGGAAATCAAAGTTTTAGCTTGTTGCTGTTGCAATGCGCTATTCATAGAACTTGGCGGCAGTGTTGTTGCACTTAATCCAACACGATTGTTTTGCATATTGCTAGTTGCACCGATATTGCTGTTGCTGCTGCTGCCACTGCTGTTGTTGCTATTATCCAATTTGGTTGGCTCATTGATTATTGTCACATTTGGCAGCGCGCCTTTGAGTAGCGCCTGCAGCAATAGCTGCGACTGCTGATCTTGCGGTTGGTTGGCATTGTGTCGCAGTATCAGGCGTTCGCCTTGCTCGGATACAGTCAATGTAAGATTGCCAGTGAGTTGTGGCATGAGCGCCGCTGCTGTTGCTGGCGAGCCGACCGATATTGACACATTGCTGGGCATGCCGGTGAGCTGTGGTGGCAAAATGGTGGCACTGGTGAGGCCCGGTGTCGATATTATGTTATTATTGGCACTTCCGCTGTTCGCAGCCATTGAATTGGTGGGCTGTTGTTGTACTGTCGGTGTTTGATTAGATGAAGCCGCCGGAGTTGCGTTGGATCCTGATGTTTGTGGTATGGCCACTAGTTGTACCTGCCTGCCATCTGTGGTTAATTTGATAGTGGCGGCGGGTGATTCGTGTGTTTGTACGTTTGCCTGAGAGTTTGGTGGTTGAAATATAATATGTTGTTGTTGTTGTTGATGTGGTTGTTGTTGCTGATTGGACTGCGTTTGATATTGCGAAGTGGGCGGTAGTGTTGCCGCCTTAATATGTAGTCCTAAGGAAAATAATTGTATTATCGGTAATTTTTTTAGTTTGGAGAAAATTTGTATCGTAAATATAACAAAATATATGTATATATGGTATATAATACCCACTTAGGTTTGTACTACATACACCAGATTTTATGCATTGTTTATATCTTCTACGGCAAGTTCTCGTAGTCCAAAGCAATGCAATTTAAGTAATATATGCATATATTACTAAAAATAAAGCAATACCTAAAATTTATCACAAACAGTTAGCATCCAACTAAAATTGTTTAAATTACCCAATTAAGAACTACCATGTGTTTGTTTTTTATTTTAGTTAACTGTAATCGGTTTGCTTTTAAATGGTTTGCGTCATGACTAACATTGTATTACTGTTGTTTTATTAATTTAGTTTATTATGCAGGCAATGTGAATAGCAAGAAGAAAGTATATTATGACATTTGTTGTGGATACTAAGTGAAAGCAATTATAAAAAATGCACTATATGACATTTTGGAATTTATCATAGCTAAAACAAAGGTAATCAAAATCGAATCGTTTGTCGAAATGCAAATTTATGAATTTGTTGTGCACTTCCATATTAATCTTTTGATAAAAAATTCTAACCTTAAATTCAAAAAGGACTATTCCCATCTCACATGGAACTTTATAGAAACTTTATGAATAAATCTATGTATGATGTACTTTCAACTAAATAAGTTTTGGTTGAGTAATTTTTTTTTACTTAAATTCAATTACTATAACAAAAACAAAGGCTGCTTACCTCCTCCTGCGCCAGCGGTGCTGTCCAAAATCGGCATAATTTGTATTTTATTTTCCACAGCACCACAGCCGCTATTGTGATTTGGTAGCATTTTCGTTGTGTCCACCTGCGAGATTTGTATATTGCCAATTTGGCTAGGAACTTGCGGCGCACCCGCAACCGTTGCGGCCAATGATGACGCTGTTGTTGGCGTTGTTGTCACTGTCGACGTTGTGTGCGGTAATGTAGTTGAAGCGCCCTGCTGTTGTTGTTGTTGTTGCTGCTGAACTTGAGCAGCTGTGGCTGTCGGCATGGCTGGTGTTTGGGTGGTCGTCAATGAGGGCATCACTGAGACACTATTGGTTGTGGTAGTTGTTGTTGTAATCGAGGCGGCCGCTGCAGTGCTTGCTGTTACTACAGTCGACGCATTCGTGATTGCAATGCTGTTGTCTTGCTTCTTACCATTGCGACGCACAGCTGGTTTGCGTCGTGGTTTCACCGTTGCAGTTGTTGTTGTTGTGGTGATAGTTGCGGGTGTCGTAATGGCTACTGTGGGATTGCTATTAGACGTTGGCAGTTGAGGTGAGGCGCCGCCAGCTGTTATGTTGAACAGCGATTGTGGCTGCGCTGGCGTCGGCTGCATTGACTGCAACTGTGGCAGATTGTTGGCGGACGACATGGTGAAATTCATTGTCGCTGCACCGATTTTATTATTGGATTGTTGTTGTTGTTGTTGCTGCTGCTGGTGTTGTTGTGTTGCCGCCGCTGCTGCTGCTGCCTGTTGTGCCAAATGCTGTTGCGCTTGCTGCTGAATTTCCTCCGCAGTCGGCAGTCGTGGTATCGAGATTGTGTATGGCGTTGAAGCCGTGTCATTTTGATCGATTTTAATAAAGATATTGTGCGGCTCTGTCGTATCATGACCAGCATTGCTGGATGCTGTTGCAGCACCTAGTGCGGCTGAGGCAGGTATTGTCACGGTAAAAGGCAAGGAGTCTGTGCCATTTTGACTGGGTATCGAGATCATTATGTCGTTGGCGTTTGGTGGCGCCGGCGCTTGTGTCGTTGATGTCGACGTTGCATGCGTGGGTGTTTGTGGTGGTTGCGGTGCGTTAGACGCGGGGGTGGATGCTCTATCATCGTGTGTGGACATTGTGTCCATATAATCTTCATCGTCGTCATCATCCTCCATGATGCCACACAATTTCATAACATTGCCGAGATCGAGTTTTGGTCGCGCTTGCTCTTGCTGTTGTTGCGGCGGTTGATTAGTTTGACTGGATCCAGTGTTGCTATTGCAATTGGTGAAGGTCAGTTTTACATTTTGCGGCGACGTTTGTGAAAATTGCAGCTGCGGCATGACGCCGGTGCTGTAACTCATGCTGACAGGTGTGTTGAATTTATTCGCGATCGCATTGGCCGTCGATGAGGGTGTAGTATTTGGAACATTTTTTACTTGTAACGTGGGTGAGGACGCAGTCGTTGTTACGGCTGGCGATTGTACTGCAGCCGCTGCTGCTGCTATGCTGGCGGCGGTTTGTTTCTTTTTACGAGGCTTTGCCTTCTTTTTTGGTTCAGTCTGCTGCTGCGATGACTGCTGTTGTTGTGCTTGCAATGACCCATTCGTTGCACCACTGTTTGCTGGGTTTGCGTTCATCATCGAATTTGCCACTTGTCCATTAGATAGTTGCTGTTGTTGGTTTATGGTGAGTGTGCCACCAGTGATGCCCGCGCTCTGTAGCAATGTGGGTGTTGGCTGACGTATTGGCTGCGACGCCTGTGATGTGCTGTGTGTCAAACTGGGTAGCGTACTTTGCTGAGCATTGAACATATCAACGTTAGAGCTGGAAGAAGTTGGCGGTGGTGGTGGCGTTTGGAAGGTCGCTCCCGCCGCTGCTGCCGCCGCCGCCAACTGCTGTATGTTAGCACCACTTAACTGATTCAAATTGATGAGTGAACTTCCACCGGCTGCAGCATTGCTTAAACTCTGCTGGAAATGTGCTGGCAATTGCGAAAGTATTGTTGCTGTTGTTGGTGAGGAACCGTTGGGCATTTGAATTTGCGTAATGCTGCCACCGTTTGCCGCTGCGGCGGCTAATTGCAGATTTTGCAGTTGTGCTGCTACACTGGGACCCAACAGATGACTGGTGTTTATGGTGGCCGTTGTGGTGAACGGCTGATGAGATCGTTGCTGATTTGATGCCGAGAGGGCTGCATGCAAGCCAGTCAGCTGTGTTATGGCCGGATTCTGAGGATTTGTTTTAATCGTTTGTATATGATTTGCAGTCTGTTGTATGAGGTTCGCCTGTGAGGACACAATGAAGGTGGGAGTGGCGGCGGCCAGTTGCATGGTCGCACCGTTTGTACCCAATATACGCAATAGCTGTTGCGGCTGTTGTTGTTGGAGCTGCGCCTGCGGTCGCGCATTCTGTATCACCAGTGAGGGTGTGGCTGTCAACTGTGGTGTGGGTGGTCGCAGTATTAGTTGTACACCTTGCGGCGTATTCTGCTGCACCAACACTGGCATTTGATTGAGCAACAATGGCTGTTGCGTCGTTAGGTTGGCTGTGGCGCCTGTTGGTAGCAGGATTTGCTGTTGATGACCGGGACCGCCAGAGGTGATCTGTGCTTGTTGCGGCTGTGGTGATTGCGAGATCTGTGGCATTTGCGCCATATTATTTGTGTGACTATGTACGGTGGCGGTCGCTGCATTGCCTCCACTCATTTTAGATTTATGTTGTTGTTGTTGCTGCTGATGCTGCTGCTGTTGACTGGCATCGTTGTACGATTGTTGTTGTGGCTTTGGCAGTATTTGCTGTGGCGGTTTTACGGACTTTGTTGTTGTATTTGTTGTTGTACTGCTAAGACTGCTGTACGACGTCGGCGTCACATGTGTTTGAACTGTTGCATTGCTGCCTATCAGTCGTTGCTGCAACGTATGCTGTTGGCCAGCTGGCGCCGCAACAATTTGGCCCTGTGGCCCTTGGATTATCTGAAAGACCTGTTGCGTATGCTGCGGCTGATTGGTTTGATGTGGCGCATTGCCGGTTATAGTGAATTGTTGCTGCAACATTTGCATTGGTTGTGGTGTTGACGGTTTGATTGTGGCGGCGGTAATTGTATTGCTAGGACTCGGTATTGGACTGTCAGCTATCAGCGGACTATTGCTGGGATAGTGTTGGAACTGTTGTTGTTGCTGTTGACTTAACGACGTCGACGTTGGTAGTACTGTTGCGGCGGCTTTTTTCGCTTGACCTTTTGGGCAACCAGCCACATTTGCTGTCGCAAACGAACTCGACGTGTTGATCGCTGCTGCATGTGATTGCCCATAGCCGCCGGCTACAGTATTCGAGATCGAAGACGCAGTGTGGCAAGTTGTTGGTGTAACAGCACTGCTGAATATTTGGTGATGCTGTTGATTAAGTTGATTTTGTTGTTGCTGCAGCTGCTGCTGCTGCTGCTGAGTAATGCGCTTATTGCCCTTCTGCAACGAAAAAGTTTTTAAGGTTTATTTTAGTAAATAAATGTAAAAGTATAAATTATTAGCAAGATTATATATTCGAGGCTCATACTTACCTTATTTAATTGTATGTTATTGGATCCAACAAGTGTGGTGTTGAATTCATTACCGGCTGCAGGTGTGGTTGCCGCTATCGCTGCACCCCCCACACCGGCTGTCACACCGATAACACTGGTCGCTGCCGCTGGTGACTGCGATGGACTTGGTTGAAATACAACGGTACCGGCGTTCGGACTTCCATTAGTGAATTGATGCAAAGATTGTCTGCGTCCCGGTGTGGCAGTTTTTCTTTCCTATAATACAAGCAGAAATGCAAGCTATTAACAAATGCAAATACATATTTTCGAAACATTCAATAGTAGATAGCACAAATACTAACCTGATCGTGTGTGGCGCTTGTTATTGTATTTCCAGCTACGAGTAGCACATCCTGCGGAAATGGCGACAATGAGGGTGACGGTTGCAAGCGTGGACTAGCAGATATCGATGGTGACGGACTGGGCGTTAAAAACGGACCCGGAGGAGACAATATTCCTGCGAAAAAAAGAAGATGGTTCGTTAAAAATTATGAAGTTTTGTAGTAAAAAACTATATATAAAAAGTGCAATATGACTTGATCGAATAACAATAAAGAATTTGTTGGAGCTCAAAAACTTCAAATTTCATTACCATATATAATGCTTGAGTATTAAATTTAACTGTAACTTTTGCGCACCGAACCAAGTGGAGCACTAATAGTAGTGTCTAAAAATCGCTTCTTCTAAAGATGCAATAGATCATTGTCGATCGATTGTCAACAAAAATATTTGCGGAATTTTAGTTGCTCAAATACAATATTATCGACCGATATATACAAATCACTTATTCAAAATAGTTTTTAATATTTATTTATTTATATTCCCTGGTGTGATGAATGAGTGAAAAAGAAAGTAAAGAATCGTTAATTTCGGCTGCATCGAAACTATAATATTCCTCAAGGGTCAATTTCCTATAGCATAAAATAGTATAAAAGATATTTGACACGATTTTCATAGCGCAATTGTCATACAAATACATATAACATATGTTATAGTGATCCGAATTAAAAATTTTAACATTGCCTTGGACAATAGCCTGTGCGAAATTATGTGAAAATAGCTTTTCAAATAAAAGAGTCTTCCATACAAGGACTTGATTTTGATCGGATAGTTTGTATGCCAGTATATGCCACAGTGAATCGATCTAAAATTCGATTCCGATCAATTCAGAGTATAAAAAGAATTAAATCAGACTGCAGAAAACAATAATTAATTTTTTCACTGTAACATAAGTATGTATGTATATAGGATTTTTTTCAACGAATCACTGAAGTGGTATATAAAAACAAAGTTTCAACATTTGCTCTATATATTTTGCATAGCAATATCTAGTCACTTGCATCTTCCTGCTTATATTCAATATTAAATACGATTTATTACAAAAAATTTTAGCAAAACCGATTTGTGTAATGAGCAATAATGATTCGTTGAGCGAAAGCGCTTCAGCTGAACTTGAAAAGCGTAAATAATTGACCGTAAATATTACAAGAATTCCCCTGACGCTCACCAACATCTCAAATGACAGCACTACTTATTGTTGTAAGTCCTCTTAACGCTATTCAAAACCGTAAAAGGACGACCAAAAAATATAAATATGTAGAAAATTATTTTAAGAGCAGTTTATGTAAATAATCCAATTATGTAAAAAGAGAGGAAGAAAAACAAACAATGAAGAAGAAGAAGAAATAAAAATATATTGAATGTAACTAGCCAACCAAATTACAAAAAAAAGTATAAAAATAGAAAATATAACAGAGCAGAAATATATGCATATAAGAAAGGGAATTACTTGAGGCAGCAGATACTGTTTATGTTTCTGCCGAACCAGGAGCACACATAATATTTATTTATTGACAATCCACACGGCGTTTGGCCACAAGATGCAAAAGGCGAACATGAACTAAGTTTTGTTTTTGTTGCCAAGTATACACACACGCACGTGTGTTTGTATTGCTTGTAGGTGTCGTGCATGAGGACTCTCGATTTTCCACACTTCACCGCGTGCAAAATAATGCGTTTGTTGCAAGAACGCACAGTGTACGTTACATAGAAGGCATGTGATTCGTTGCAAGAGCAGCAGCAGAGGCAGCTAGTGTTATTGCTGAGTACGCTTGTTGTTTTTGGTTGGTGTCGACATTCATTTGTGTGGTACATGCATGTCGTATTTTCGCAAATACTACTACAACGGCTATTGTTATTTCAATACATCACCCCAAAAGTAGCAGCTTGCCGCAGTTTGCATACTGCTGCCACATACACATCGCTCATTCATCAGCCTAGGCCGCTTGTGCGTGCCTTCAAGTTATGCTTGAACTTCGAAAATTCGTTGCATCAAAAGACGCAAGCAAGCAAACAGCAACTCTTTCAGTTGCAAAACAATATTTTAGCCGATTGTCGTTGATTCAGTTGATAGAAGTATGTATGTATACGTTGAAGATGAAAGAGCGAAGAAGCTATGGATGTTCAGATGCTATGTACATATATAATATAATATGTATATGTATGTGTATAGCAAGTATCGCAGCATATATTTAGAAGCATATATTTAGGTGAGCAAGTAATTTTGATAGCGAGTGTTCACCGGCAAGGTTTGGCTTCTGCCTATTAAGTTAACTGCTTCCTTAGTCTTTGGCTCGAACGCTAAAGGACTGGCTCCAACACTGTGTAGTCAGTGCTGAAGCTCCTAACCTACGTGTCTACACATATGTACGTCTTGTATGTGTGTGTAAAGTATTGAAGTTTGTCACGTTGTTATAGCAGTAGTCACAGCCACAAGAACAACAAACAACCGCCACCACCAAGCAGAGCTGCCACCGCCCCAACCAACCAGAACATTATGCGCGCTAGGGCAGCCAGCCAGCCAAGGGCTACCCACCAACTATGATTGTTGGTTGTGCTATAGCATCAACAACAGCATCTGCGTCAATAGCAAGATTTTGGTTACCGTGGCACTTGGATTGGCAGCCCGGCAGTCGGTCGTAGCAACTTACCAGGCAAATGGCGGGTGACAAGCGGGCGACAAGACGGGCATTTTAACGCTGCTCTTTCGTGTGCTTCACATTTTCTGACGTTATTCGCCGCCGCTTGGTTTGTGATGTCTTGCAACATTGCTTGGACGGACTGTTTGTTGGTCGTACAGTGTATTTGTGTGTGATTGCTCCAGGTTCCGCGTCACAATATTAACTGGGGGTTGCGGATGTACTGTATGGAGTTCTAACTCACGTATGTATATAAGTATAAGTAAGTGTGTATAATTCTGGCGTTGTTTTTGTTGCTACTACTTGGTGACCGTGTGGTTGCCACGTAAAGGCGTTTTAAAGGATATCGAGAAGTATGTGTGTACGCCGTGCTGAAGCTAGATGTTGTAGCGAAAATAATCAACATGAGGGGGATGCGGGTAAATGAAATCAGCAAGTAAGGAAAAAATTTTGAAACAAAACGTCGAGTGCACATAAAAACAATGCACGAATATAAAGTAGCAAACAAAAGCAATACAAACAACACCAACAATAATACGAACATTTTTGCTGGAGAATAAAAAATTTAATCCTGCAGGAGTGTGCAAGCACCACAGCAGCAGCAGCAGGCAGTAGCAACAGCAACAGCAACACTTTTGTCTTTCGCCATAATGCCAGAGTGTGGATATTAAAAGCAATAGCAAGCAAAACAAGTACCACGAATGTAACAAATAAAAGCTGCCCAACAGCACTCGGGAATACGTAAAACTGAAGCGAAAATCAATAAAAGTGTAGGCATGTGCAATGGGGGTAGATGCCATGGAAGACAAATATTCATACGCGCACCGGATAGGTGGAGTATTAAGACACAGATATTTACAATATATGTAATAAGCGTGTGTGAAGGCTAGAGCTGTAGGTTGTTATGCTATGATGTCGGACGGACTTACTCTTGAGTCTTAAATATTTCTTGGAAGTGCACAATTCGGTCGTTGCTGTAGTGAACCTTTGACAGCTAACACACAGGCGCATATACCCTTGCAGGTACAAGGTACAATGCGCGCTGCCTGGTGTAATAAATTTGTAATTTTGAGCTATTGAAAATTATGCATAGTTCTGCAGATGTTATAAAAATAGTAGTAACTACTAATATCATTTTTACTAATAACATAAGAGGTGGGGAATTTAAGTTTACATTTTGTATAATAATTTCTTGTGGGTATCTTAAGTCGACTAGGTTAGGTATTATTCAGATTCAGTATAAAAAAGAAAACATGCATCTAACATTAACGTCGATTCTATATTAATTTGAATCTTACGGTCTGAATAATAAGCAATTTGATAGTATATAATATATTAATTGAGTGGAGAATATGTAAAAATTATGAATTATTCTCAATAAATATTGAAAATATATTTTTCAGCTATTGGAAAAGAGCTTTCTTGACACGTTCGATCAATTAGAACATCTTCACCATAAATTCGATGACTTTTCGATAGGTTTCCAACACTTGTTCGGGATATTCAAACAATGGAATAATAATCAAGATACGCAATTTCTTGGCAAACCGCACGAAAATATTTATACATCCAATATTTAATGCAATTTCATTGCATTTTTTTTGAATTATTTGGTAATATTTTATAATTTCTAATATTAAAAGATTACACATAAAATCGAACATCCAATTCGAAGCGACTTGTTAATAATTAATATCATTTGTCTAAAATTACAGACCATAAGTGGGAGGCCAAATATTTTGCAAAAAACTTGACAAGTGCATTCCGTCTATAAAAATTTTATTAATGTTTTAACAAAATTGGTTGTTAACACAAACTACATTTAATGATCAGCTGATACGCCCGTTTTAAATTGACAGTGCGCACGTCAAACATCCATTAAAATTAATGGTGACATCAAATGCATAAAAATGATTTATCATTATTTTTATACTAATGCACTCATAAAATTTGCTTAGCATTTAAGCGTTGAGAGTGAATAGCCCTTGAAAGGTTATTAACTTTTTCTTTTCAACGCGCAGTTAACAGATGTTTTGCCAAATCTTGAAGTTTAATAAATTAATATATTATAACAAATGTGAGTGTATATATATTTAAGGCAACAACTAAAACAAATAAACGAAAATATTGTGACTTGCAGGTGTCTGTGACACTCGCAATGCATAATATATGCACATGTATGTATGAGTGTATGCACAGCCAAATCCACCAAAAGCCACAAGAATGAATAACAAAGTATGAGTAAAAATAAATAACAGCTAAAAATAAATTTAAGAAGAGGACGAAAACAAATATAATAGAGAATTCTCAATGCATCAATGGTCAAAAGCGTGTTTCGTGTTACGGTGTAATTAAAGTGAAAGCAATAAAGTGTTACACAAGTGCCGAGAATAAAAATAACAACAATGAAAACGTCAAAGCCACCCATTAAATATGGATTAAATTCATCGCAAAGTAGGCATAAATCGAAAAAATAACAAATCACTTAAGAAAGCAAATCAGTTTTATAGATACACATACTTAAGTAAGCAATAATTTTAATGACGATAAATCACTGCTAAAACAACAATTACAATTGGCACTGTCCTCAATGGCGGCTATTAACGAAAAGCGAATGAACGAATTAAAAAATATTAAATTCAAACAATTCATTTGTACTCGAATAAGTGCTACGAGTGTTTTCACAAAAACAAAAGAAACAAAATATACAAAAAAAAAAAAAATTACAAATTAAATGCTTATTTCTGTGCCTACAGCGTAATGCATCAAATTCACCCGATTTATGTATGGTATATGTTGGGATTTCTTTTTTATGGACCTGCCACTAAACGGTATTCCCCCAGTTCGTGCGCACACACGAGTCATCACCACCAATGGACAACAAAACGCTTACTTTGATTTCACAAATTAATATGTATGTATGTATGGGGGTATGAAGGTACGTCTTGAGCACTTCCAGCATTGCTTTGAAGAGGTCTCGAAGAGTAAAGTGCGCACACGGCTTTCTTTGTAGTGAAACACTTTGAGGTTATGTAAATGGAATTGTAAATTCAAAGACCGTCGGCAAAGTGGTCGTAGTAGGCTTTCGCGCCCGTTCAAGCATTTAATTCATTCATAGCCGTTCAGTCGCGGTAAAGCTCATTTAATGTTACTTCTGTGTCAGAGCGTCAAACATACAAAATTGCTTGCAATCTAAGCGTTTCAATGATAAGTGTAAACAAAAGCGAGTATGCCGTACAATAGGCGATATGACGCGCCCACTTTTCGCTTGCTGGTTGCAATGGTGTGATGTGCCCTGCATCGCTGATGTGTTCTGGTGTGATGTGGTGGATAGCGTGTCATATTTACCGCCATTTTCCCTTTAAGAGTGCTGCCAAGTTCAGTGTAACGACTTGGCTTTCTGTTTGTTTTGTTAATGACGCACTTGGGGCGGTGGGCTACCCGATGCGGGGAAAACTATTAAAGAACGAATAGGTGGAGTTAAGTAAGAAATATATAGAGAACACTTTAAAATAAAGAATAATAAAATTTAAAAAAAAAATGAACAGTTAGTGGGGTTCTAAATATAGAGCATACGTGAGATATGTGTTTGCACACGTTTTTCAAATAAAATTGTTACACTTGAGATCTCACGTATTTTTATTGAGTTTAATTAACGAATATTTTAATAGCTAGATAAGGCTTCGAGTACTTTTTTTTATCAATTTAACTGTAAGAAACAATGAAATACGCAGAAACTGTTAGCAAGATTGATGTGAAGTAACAGTGAGTAAAGCAGTTGTTCTGTCGATTGACTCCAAAGCATGTTAAACAGTAAACAGTAAACCCCTATGTGATATGTTTTAAAATCGTATTAACGCTGACTGCGGATATTTGTTTCGATTTATGAATTTAGCCACTCCAGTAAAATTGAGTTATTTAGATTTCTTGTATATAACTAATTGACATTTTACGACCTCTTTCCGCAATTAATAATTTTGGAATTTTTCATTATGAACATTAAAAGGCGGACTTGTCAGTACAATGGCGGTATTAATCTGTTGCTTGATAAATAAAATGAAATACAGAGCTGTTTATTATTTTTTCTAAGCCGCTGGTGTTTTTTTTTTGTATGGAGAAAAAAAAAAGAAAAAGTAAGTTGTTTCAAATGTGTGTCGTTTTTTAAATCGAAGTATGATAAAATTTTTTTTTTTAATAAGAATTAAAGAAAAAAGGTCGATTGTTTATTTTTATTAGTTTATTTTCATTTAGCTTATTTCCCCTTAACGTAAACATAAGCCAATTAGCACATGCTCAAGCTTACTGATTGCCATGCTCAGGTAGTGGATTAATACAGTGTTCGTTAACCTATTACAATTGATGTGATGCACAATTCGTGACTGATTTGGTTGTAAAGCAAAATATTGTTGCGAATTGATTGGTTTATCACGAAAACTCGAGCCTATAATTTGGATTTTTTTTTTTATTTTGCTTGCATCGAAAGGGAACGTATGTAACTGTTTTACATCTTCATACCCTGTACAGTGATCGATCAAAATCAAGTCCTTGTAAGAAAAACCTTTTGCAAGATTTCTTCGCGTGGATTATACGACTAAAAAACGGCTACAATAACCGACCAATTTGTTCAGATCGGACGACTATAGCACGTATACTTGTACATAGCTGCTATAAAAACTAACCAATCAAAATCTAGTTCTTGCATGGAAACTTGTGAAGTGTATTTTAGCTTGGGTGCAATCCAATTTAACGTTTTTTCTTGTTTCAATTTAAGTATGCAAATACTACATAAAATCCATAAAAAATAGTTTGAGTAAATCTCTCTCTCTTTTTGCATCGAATTCTACATGATTACATATTGCATTCAAGGGGAAGGGAACTAAAAATAACTTTTAAGCTGTCTCATCATCCGTTATTGCCAGCATCAAATAGTATGTTATTGACATTATGCTGTCAAGCGGCTAAAATTTGTAAACTCCTGCCACTTTAGTGTCATTAAAACAAACCAAGTTGTCAAATGCAATCAGAATCGGTTAGCGATGATATAGAAGATGTGTGTTTCATTATAAAATTTGTTACGTTACTCACCCCTCTTCTAAGAATTTCAAAACGTTTTCGGCAAAAACTCATTAAAGTTTTGCAACTTCGCAGCATAGTCAATAGCTACTTTTATACACATACATACACACATAAACTAAATTGATAAGAGTGCTAAAAAATCAAATGTCTTAATTGTGAAAGTTCAGCACGTGATCAAGATTCCCACTGATGGGTGAGTAAGTGAATTAGGCCAGACAATTGAAAATCATGTGCTTAAGCGCTTTGCCTTGTTATATACGTATACTACATACATAGTATATACACATACACGAAATTACATTCATTACGTTTTAATTAAATATATACATATTTACATTTAAAGATGTGTTTGTCAGCTTTGTAAATAACACAGACTGTCGGTGGATTGTCAGATAATGAGACGATATGTATAAGTTGTGGCGTGATTACAACAAATACAAAATACACTTATACATACATATATTCAGATGGATACAGAAAATAGTTTAACAAAACTTTAACCTATAAATATATTGCGTACGCACGCGAGGATCTGGCGACGTCAAGTGGGAGGACATATTGTCGCAATGATAAGGCATTTGTATGTATAACAAAATTTCAAAATAAAGTAAAATATGATTGCAGAAAATAAGCAAGAAACCGCACAGATGCTAAAAATATATGTATAATTGTAAATATTCACAAAAAAGAGCGCTAACATGTCATATTTTTTCCAATTGGCAAATATTGTACAAAAATAATGTGCGAAATTCAAAATAATAACCGCAAGCGATTAGTAAAACACACGCTCTGTCCGCGTCATTGTATATATTTATGTATATATTATAGAATGGTCCGCGCACTTGACCGGCACCACCAACTCACTGGCACATTGTGTGTCATTAACGCTGAAATTATATTTTCACAAACGATACCCGAGATAAAATAAATGGTTAAATTGACACATTTTGCGCGCTCTTTTGATACCGTTATTTTTGATGTTAATAAAAACACCACAAAAATGAAGTAGCACTGCCAGAAAATAAAGTACGGTTTACATTCGGTTCAGGTAAAGCAAAGATTAATGTGTAATTCAAGCGAGTATGTAGTACTTAAAGATTGAAATATGTATGTATATATTGTGTGAGTCTCACCGTTTATAAACGGTTTATGACATTTTAGGCAGCCAAGATTTGGCTTAATTTTCCCTTTCGAATTGTGATAGCATGTATCCACACAGAAAAAGCAAAGATTCGTGTGAAAATATGAATGAAAAGTGGTTGCAGCTGTGGGGCGCACTCGCCTGATATCATTTTTAGATATGGTTAAAAATGTATCCAATGACAACTACAAGTGCACAGACTTAACTAGGCGGCAAAACAGTCACCTGCTTAATTCCGCTCTTCGTAGCAAAACAGGTACCAAAACACATGACAGTGAATGAGCGCGTTGTTGCCGTATTGTGGAAAGTTTTGTTAAAATATTTCTGACACGAAATCGGTATTTGGAAACATAGTACTATTTAAATTATTTTCATTTAAACAATACAAATTTCGAAATTATATATGCATATTATTTCTATATTATTAATTTCTTCTATATACAGTTTACTGAATTGGGTGAGTGATTTTTCATAGACATAAAAGTCAACTAAAAATATATATTTTTAAATTACTTCGTGGTTTTGAAGAATTTTTAAAGAATTGTTGGTAAAATATATTTTTTACTCTTGATTAACGGTTCCTTTCTTGGCAGTTGTGGTGACACGTAAAAAAATACTAACACTGCTGTTAAAGCCCTAAAATATTTTTATAGAAAAATTATAACATAAGTACATATACCATATATGTATATATTTCCACTCATCTCAAAAACAAATATAATAATAAAATATATAAAATTGTATATCCTAACACAGCTTGTTACATTTGTCGATAAAAGTGTGGGCTAGAATTCTTTGCGGTGGCAACACTTTGCGAGAGAGATGAGAGTATGAGAAAAGTGACTGCGCCGTGTGAAAAGGTGACCATCTTTGGCAAATAAATAACAGAGACAGTTGGTAGTGTGGAATTGTTTGGAAAATCGAAACTAAACCAAACAACAACAACAACAAAAACGACGAGAGTGCACAAATGATGCAAATAAATGTAGTTACAATAACAAGTATAGAGAAAAACTCATATCAACAATGTAAAACAATACTAAATAACCAAATTTTACGGTAGAATGGCATTTGTTAAGCAACAAAAGGTAGAGAAGGAACAAAAAGCAACTAAATTAGCAGAAGTATTTGTATGTATGTAGTTAATTAAGTGATGAACACCCAAGTAGTAATATCGATGGCGTAAAGCAGCGCTTAATCTCTTTAATAATGATAACAGGTTGCACTTGAAGCCCGCAAAACAAAGAAATTCAAAATTGTGGATAAGTAGCAACAAAGCACATCGCATTGAAGCACCAAAATGACCAAAAGCGCTAGCTGCAAAGCAAATGGTAACAAGTAATAGCCAATAAAGTTAACAATAACAACAATTGTGAGAAAAAATCTCCGAACACCAGCTCAGCATATTAATAGCAACTCCAATTCTGGCAACAACAACAACCACAACTTGCAAACACCAACAGTTCAACACAACAGTCGTTGACTTTAGCGGCCACAAAGCCCATTGAAAATACAATACTATTAAACATACAAACAGTCAAACAGCCAAAACTTCAGCATTAATGAAGTAGCTGAAGATGATCAAGCTAATAATGATGATTAGATAGTGTTAATAATGATGTTGAGGTTGTTGAAGAATCACAGAACAAAAATGCGATAGGAAACAAACATGAACACTTATGCATACAGCGCCACAATCACACATTGCCGTGTGTGAATGTTTGTAGGACTGTGTGCATGTGTGTGTGTACAAATGCCGAAAAAACCTAATGGGAAAAATGTATCTATATCTGTTTTTGTTCTTGTCGCCACTTTTGCTAGAAGCTATAATACTATTGACATGACTGTAAATGTCACTGTTGTTGTTGTAGTTGTTATTGCTGTTGTTACGGCTGCTCCTGCTGTTATGCTATTATTGTGGTTGTTAGTTTTTTGGTCTTTGCACCATCAACATTTTAAGCCTCTGCGCCGAAGATTAACTATAGATATTTAGATTTTTACGATTGTACATATGCACATACAGACATAACAGCGATTACATACAATGTATGTATTTTAAGTTAGTTAACCAAGATTTTTGGCTGTGTAAAATATTTACACATATTAATACTCACTATAGAATTGCGGAAAAATTTTGAAAATATTTTATTACACAAAAAAAAAAGTTTAAAAGTGACTGCTTTGCTAGTTTTTTTCTCTAATCTTTCTTTTTAATATTTATTCAATATTTTCTTGACAAACATTTTTTTTTTTAAATTTTTAAATTTTTTTTCACTGACTTAAGTGTATTTATTTTATATAATTATTTTTTAATCAATAGGTACAATACACATTTCTTTTTTTTGTTACTGCGTACACAAACAGTTGATGTCACATTTGCTGAGAGTAGATAATATTTCTTCGCTTCGCTTCTCTTATTTTATTTATTTATTTTCACTTTCGTTTGTGTACTTTGTGTTGATCTACTTTTGCCACAAATCAAATTTGCATTTCATTATCTTTTAATTATAAATTCAATAACATCTCATTTATTGCTCACTTATAGACGAAAAAGCTGGCGACTCAATTTCTTCGCACACACATACACTACGGCACGTCACTACACTTTACCGATATTTCGTAGATAATTTTTTTCTATTTCTATGTCGCACGGGTGCACTTTAACACATTTTAGTTTATTTTATTTTTTCACTATTTATTTATTTTTTGTATATATTCTTCTATTATTTGTTAGAATATTTACACTGTATGTGGTTGTTGTTGTTTTTTGCTTGCAACTTGTGTATACATATCTATTATTTGACATCGCGCATTCATATAGATTATGCACAAACAACAACAAATAAATAAAGCACATATAAAAATTTATATTACACGCGACGGCATTGACGAAGAGACAAATAGAATTTTGCTGCCATTCATTGCTCCCCGGCACGTAATACTATTCAGGCTAACCACACAAAAAATTTCATATCCCGTCGTCGTCGTCGTCATCGGCGGCGACATTCGACGTTCTCATCGTTGCCATCAGCACACAAAAAAGATCTCTGCAATAACAGCCAAATACTCGATTAATGTATACAACAACAGAAGGGAGAACCGACCGACCAGCAAGTCAACCAACCAAACAACACACAACAACAGCACAACAACATGACAGCAGCAGCCGTAAACAGCACAAACACACACGCACACATACACACAGTCAACGGTATAAGAACGGTGTGGTAAAAAGGAAGTGACGAAAAAAGGTACGTATATATTTGTTGTATACGAAACGAAGTGAAATGAAATGAAATAAAAGAAACATTCAGTCAACATATTCGGTATCCGTATTCGTACGTGTGGTGCGCCATACACGTAAAATCACTTAGCCCAGAGAGCAACAGCAACAAACACACAAGGTAACACTGATACATGCATACAAACATATGTAGATACATTCGTTTACTCGAAAGCATGCAACAGCACAAGCATAAAGCAGCAGTGCGGCAGTGTCAGTGGCAACACCAAATGCGAACCGACTAACGCAAAAACAGTAACAACATTATTTAATAGTAACAACAGTGCGACATGGCTTAAGCATATCAACAGAGCGCGCGCACAAAAAGCGATGGCGTTGCCAGATGGGTACTTTAACGCGGTTTGTCAACTATTTGGTAGAAGAGCATGAAATTTACACAATAAATAAATTATATTTTTAGTTAGTAAAATATATCGTTATATCTCTGCAATTTACAGTTATAAATTTCTATGCTAGTGTGAAGTACATTAAATAATTTTATTAAATGCGACTTACGCAATATCTAATAAAAATTTATAGAAATCGTCTTCTAAAATGTAACAATAAAGTCAGAAGTTATTAGATAATTTAATAATCACCAATAACCTCAAATTAAATATAATTTAATAATCACTAATAATCTCAAATTAAATATAATTGAATTGCTGGAAAATTCTGTAGGCATATTTAAAATATCAATTTTAAACTAATTTCGAGTACATCAATTAACCCATTTTAAAACTGATTTATATTTGAGAATATTCAGCAATTTACAGGTATATATGTACATGTACTTGTAACTTTAGACGAAAAATTTTCTCACCGCCAGACACAAAAAAATTCTACAAAAATTCACGAAAACCGCGTTTCTTCTGACTTGCAAATGAATAAAAGTTTAGGAGAGACGTACCGCTAGTTCCAATATCGATATTTATTAATAAACCAGTTTTAGCTTAAATTAACATGTGGAAATAAGCAATTATTGGAACATAATTAAATACATATAACTATAATTTCTTGCTCAACATTTTATTTCATTTAAACAACAAAAAATTACAAAAATAATAATAGAACTACAAATTTACATTTATTTGAATGTCATTAATATATTACCCGCATTAATTATTTACAATCTAAATAATAAAAAAAGCCATTTATCAACCCTTATCACCAAATTGCATTGCGAGCAAAAATCTGGCAACGCGGCAGCGAGTAAATCGACTATACCAAAAAATGAGTTGAATGTTGGCAAAGAATTCACAAAAATGTTAAAAAGCAAAACGTACTACGAGCATGCATGGATGTGCGGCTCATACACATTTCTCACGTGCAACAACAGCAAAAACAAAAACGTACGCTGTTGTTGGTTATTGTTCTTGCATGGAAATGATGTTAGACATATTGCAATGAGATTAATGCCCTACGTTTGCGTTCGCCTCTCAATGCGTTTCAACTGTGAGCCTCTCTCCACCGCTCTGGCCACACATATGTGTGTATGTATGTGCATGTGTGCGCATACGTAGAGCTCAAATAGCAAAGGTTTGTTGTCACTGATTCCGGTTTTTCGATATTTGCTGTTAACGCTGCTAATCAAACTCGGATAGATGTGTGTCTACACAGGTAAAAATATATTCATATTTATATATTCAAATTTGTGTGTGCAGCTACTAAAAGCTACCAAGACAGCAGAGTAGTGTGTGTGTGTTTGTAGAATTCGGAAATAATCATTGCACAAAAGTTTAGAATTAAACTTCGATGAGGTGTACGTGTAGAAATAACTGTAACTTAGTCAATATTGGAGCTAACATTAATGTACGTCAGGGCAAATCGCAAGAGATTAAGAGAAAGGAGAGCATGTCGACATACCTACTTAGTATGATGTATGTGGTGTACATTGCTGAAGTGGGTAAAGTTATATTATTCTTTTGTCGCTAGGTTAAATATACTCATAGAAAAACATTGTGAGAGTCAAACAAACAACACTAAAGTGTATATCAAATAATATGAGAGGCACTGATGAAGATAGAGAGAGAATCTGCTGCCGAAAGTAACGACGACGACGTTGTGCCGCTGAGAATGGTGATGTAGTGGAGGCTGGTGATTATGGTAAACGATAAGAAACAACCCTTGACAATTTCACGGAGTATAAACATGAATCACATCGTCAAGTGGGAAGGAGGTGAAAATAGCACTCACCGAACCAACTAGCATCGCCGCGGTGCACTACTTTTGAGTAGCAAGAAATGTCAAAAAATAGAAGAAATCAGGCAAAAATAGGGCACATGGATAACCAATAATTTTTTGGTATACGGAAGTGAGTTAGTGTAATGTGAAAATGGAGAGTTGGTTTCCTTGCATGAATTGCTTTTTGATTTGGGTCCTTTATTTCTATCGACGGCAAACTATTACAACTTTTGTAAACAAAAACAGAAGGGGGAAATCAGTTTTCCTGCCGAAGAAACTTATGCATAAACTGATAATGTCACAAGCAATATGTGTGAATCGGACGAAAGGAGTCAAAACATAGGCAAAAAAGGTTGTTTTTGTTTCGGCACGCGAAGGTGTTTGATTTTAATCGATTGGAAATCCGAATAAACAAACTAAATTTGGAGTAGCAATAACGGAAATGGATCGAAGGGCAAGGGCTGTCACAAAACCAGAAAAAAAAATATATACATATATTATATGTACATATGTATATCTAAGTATTTGTAAACACATTAAATGCTTTCAAATATACACACTTGAAAGGGTAGGAAAAGTCAAACAACAGGTCAATAGCAAAACAAAAAAAAAAAAACAGAAAAAAAAAACGAATGCTCCGCAGTCAGGCAGCACTTCAATTAATTTAACGACTTGAAGCCGCACATACGTGTCGCACTGTTCAAATATATGCAACACTACGCCATTGTCGACATTAATGGCTCTTGTGTTGGCGATAGATATGCGCGATTTTATCGGAAATTAAATAAACATGTTTATTGAATAATTTTATGCGTTAAATCGAGCGTGAGAACTAAGCGCACGACAAAGAAAATTGTGAGAAGAAAGGAAGAACGAGCAACAGATTTGGTGACAGATACAATTATCACGTAACTAACTCAGGAAGATCAGAAGACAACAAAAGCGAAAAAAGTGGAAAAATAAAATCATTGCCTCGAGCAAGTATCTCAATAGCTACACACCTACTTTTCTTTCCGTCTGAATGACGGACTCTGTGTCAACAAGCTCGGCAACAGCAACAACACAACGGTACTCGTGTGTATCTAAATAACAGCAAAAGCCACAGCATTCTATAGACAATCGCATGAATATGCATACGAGGTACACATAACATGGTGGTTTCTTGCCGCGGAGCATCAAGCGATTTGCTTGCTCATCGCGCGACGCTGTCAAGTGAGTTGCATGTGCGCTCGGACAAAACCACACATCTACAAGTATTTAACAGCACAACAAATCTGTCGATGCCATCTCGCCGAAATGTCAGCAAGAAAGACACGAGAGAGCGTTTCGTGGGTCGTCAAAAGGTACAACAACAAAACAAAAAAGAACGAAATAAAGATATGCACAAATGACAGCGGAAACAATGGCAAATAGGCGAATCGGCGGTAATCAGCAGTCGTGGCGTGTAACATACTGGTTTCGCAGGTGTGTAGAACATAGGAATAACTTTTTCTACATTGGCAGAGACTCAAATAGAGAAGAAGTGTTAACTAATTTTTTATGTCAGTATAGCAGAAGATCAAAGCTGATTCTATTGTGTGTAGGTAAAGCAAGTATGAAAGTTAACTACACCTGATTGGATTTGATCGTCAATTCTAATAAGACAATATTATTTCATGGCATAAAGAGTGTCTCTTATAATCTCAAAACACATTTTTACTGCAATTCTTTGTTATCACCTGTAAGTGAAAATCTCTTTGGGTCAATACAAGTTTCATTTGTTTTAGGCCTCAGATGAGATGACGTTAAGTTTCTTCAGCGGATTAATGGGTATAATCGAGCGGCAGTGAGTGGATATTTAAATTTCGCAATTGGAAAAAGTGATAACATGGCAACATTTTTATTGTTCTTGTAATGGCAGTAAATTTTCCTCACATAATTTTAAGGATTGCTGCCGAGTTAGCAGTCTTTATACGGATAAGAATCTGGTAAAACTCTATACCATGCCAAATCCCTCAAATCGGTTGAGAGTCAACGACTTTTGGTTGTTATTTACTGGAAAGTATTACTGTTGGGACACTACCCAAGGTTATTTTTGCTGAATTTGACATCGGCAAAAGTCAGTCAAAATTCATAAAGTCGACCCATATCAGAAAACCAATTTAAAGCGTTTCTTTTCACTCTAATGATAACGCGAGAGTTTTCGAGCACAATTCCCTTTGTTTTTCTTCGATTCCAGACCCAAATTTTTGCTTTTGATCTGATCGTAATAATTGAGGAAGGTTAATTGACCAAAAAAGTAGGGAATGTATTTTATTTATGCATATTACGGAAAAAGATCTAGTACTTAACCACACTTTTACAGAAGCTTGTTTTCATAACGTATAATTTTGGAAAAATAAAAATAAGTTATAATAATTTTTGGAGTTTTCTTCTTTATAACAAATATTGTAAGAAAACTATGCCAACCTAACTATTCCCACTCTTTCAAACACGAAATGCCATCACACCCAAAAAAATGTGTGTGCAATAATCGATATGTCCATAACTTCCTCTTCCAACTGACCACTGCGATATATGTAGATGCAATTTTGCAATTGTTCCTCCAAGAGCATTCACCACAAACTCGTTCGATTTGCGAATTTCAAGTAAATACACATCGATAAAGCAAAAATACGCGCAAACAACGAATTGAACAAAAGCGGTAACAATAGCAGCAACAACGCATCAGCAAGCAATGCATAGTTAATGGAAAACACAGCAGAGGCTCAGGTGGGAGCAGAGAAGCGGCCAACATTCGCAGAGTCAGCAAGTCCGACAGGAGGATAGTGTTGAAGGACTTCAGGAGCCGATTGCCAAAGCCAAAACGAGGAATACACACGTGCACAAACATAACTGGCGCTGGAAACTGTTGAAAATGACTATTGAAGTTTGTCAGACCCCCCCTACAACCACGACCCACTCATGCCAACGAGTGCGCAAGCATTGTGTGCTTAGTCAGCCAACTAGTCAGCAGCCGCGGCACGGCAGGGCGTACGCATACACACACACACTCGCTCATTTAGCAGGACAGACAAAATCAAGATGGCGTGTAGAGCGCTTTTTTCCTCGACTTTGAGGGGGAAAAAATCGTTTCTTCTAGAACGCATTGTGTCTGCGGCAGAGTATGGTTGGGAGTTGTGTTGTTCTTCGTTGGCTTGCCAGACACGTACGACAAATATGCCAGCCAGGATGTCACAGGGCCGCTGTCTCCGACAACAACATCAGCAGCTGTTGATGCATGTTATTAAGCAAACTTTTCCTTTGTCGCGCATTGCGTTATTCTCCTTTGCCGTTAGCAGCAGGCAGGCAGGCAGGCTCTGGCTCTGTTCTGCTCCGTTGCTTTCGCATGCATGTTTCGTGTGGTTTTTGTGTATCTATCTATTAAAAAAGTTA